ATTTTCATTTTTTTGCTTTGTTCTAATTTTTGTTATCTGCTGATTTTGTTGGTTTTTTTTGTCAATTTCTATTAAATTTACTAATAGCAGATTATCAACGAACGAGTGTAGAATTCGCTTTATATAGTCTACATTCGTCTCGTGTGCTCGTATAAAATAATAAATTTCCTTTTTTTTTTTGTTGTTTTTATTGCATATTTTTGGAGCTTATTTAGCGATTTTTAAGGTATTAATAGCGCATATTTATGCAATTTTAAGTGCTATAAAATCCCAAACCTGATTATAAATGTTAAAAATGTTTCCAAGTCCATTGTTATGGACTACCACAAAAACATGTATAAATAGAATTGTGTGTAACACAATATCACAGGTGTTACACACCTATATTTGATCATAGATTATCCATAATCATTAATCATTAATTTAAAATATTATAAGATTAATATATATTCCTAGAAACACCTACATTTAATAGGTTGGCCATAAACCAGTAATATATATATTAAAAGATTAATATATATTCCAAGAAACACCTACATTTAATAAGACCAGTAATATATATTAAAAGATGTAATCTATAAAATAATAAAATAGGTCAAACGAACGTGGCCTATTGCTAAATAAGGAATAATGCCGGAACAACAAGTCCAATGACGTCAATCGAGCCATATAAAAGAGGGATCAAAATGACCATAATTCAGATGAGTTCTAGTCACGGAACTACAAGCTACTACACGTCACTTTGTATCAGAATTTTTGTTAACACTTTGAGTATTAAAATAAATGTATTAAAAGTCTCATGTTTATTTAAATTAAATACATCTTTGACTTGCAACACTTGAAATCGAGCCGGTGGCACGTAACACCATACTCTAGCATGAAAATGCTCAGTGTCGCATAGCCAGAACTCGTCTGATTTGCCCTTGTTTTTGGGTCCCTTTTATATCCGATATATGCAAGTGTGTGTGTGTATATGAAAATGATAATAAAAATATGATAACTCGTTATTGATTCTGTGTGTGCACTATAAAAATATGATAATTCTTTATTGATTCTGTGTGTGTGTACTATCTCTTGACCAGCCCATATTTACTAATACAAAGATCCAGGATGTGGTCACTATTATTTTGATTTAACTTATCCACGTGTGTGGTTTTGATATTCATATTCTTATTTTAATTTTTGTATAAATTACTATGTGAATAATTGAACATATCCACGTGTGTGGTTTTGATATTCATGGGAACCTCCTTATAACGTATTTTTTATCATGTGATTACGCTGAATACGACAAAAAACTTAATGCAAAACCACCCACCAACAAATTGTGAAAATTGTAATAGTGATAAGGGAATAACCACGTACGAATTGCAAAAATAAAAATAAGAAAAAATCTGCGAATTGCAAAACAACACTATCATTATTCAAATGTGTCGATCAACAAATTAACAATCACGCTTTTATAATTATAATAATAATTATTTTTTTTTTTAGTTATAAATTAGAAAATAATTTTAATATATTTATATTGTTGGTAAATATAATACTTGAAGATTTGCTTTGCTGTAAATTTGTCGTATTTTTTATAGTTGTTATTTTTATTAAAATCATAATAAAAAAGACTAAATTATAATTGATTGATTTATATGGTTTAGTTGCTAAGTATTAATGTATCATAAATGACGACTTACAAGTAATAGTTATTTTAATGACTCTAGTTTAAATAGGTTTGTTAACTTTTCATTTTTAAAATTACGTTTTATTACAACTGTTTCATAAAAAAAATAATTCCTTTTTTTTTTTTAAGTGGGTTCGTTTTAACGATTATACATTTCTCGCATAGGCGTGTTTACGGGAGGAACGAGTGGGCACTACCCCCCCCCCCCCGGTGGACCGTCCCTCCAAAAAAATCATGCCTAGATAAAAAAAAAAACCGTATGGGCTGTACTCAATACAATATCGACAGTATCTTTACCAGTCTCAACAGCGTCATCAGAAAGATCGTTTTCGATATTGAAAAGATTGAAGTCGTGCTTGAGAAATAGTACAAGCGAAAATAGACTAACAGGATTATCTCATGTCAATTCATCAAAGTATTTCAATAAACACTGAAGAAGTGATAAATAATTTTGCAAATCTACCTCGAAAATTAGACTTTGTCCTGTAATTA